GGGGGCAGGGGGGCAGGGGGGGCAGGGGTGGCAGGGGGGGCAGAGGGGGGCAGGAGCGATGGCCAGAGGGGGAATGGGGGGAAGGCTCCTTTGCACAGAAGCACCCTTGCTTCTCAGAGGGCGCGGGCATCATCCATAGAATCCCTCCCTCCCCCCTCCCTTTACCCCCTTGGGCGCGCCGCCAGGAGCAGAGGTTGGCTTCCCAAGGGTCGGCCACGCGCGGAGGGGGGCAGGGGGGGAGAGGGGAAGGCTTTTTACATAGAAGCGCCCCTGCTTCTCAGAGGGCGCGGGCATTATCTACAGATGTCAGGCCGGCGCCTTCTGAGAAGCCGCCTCCTTCTTAGAAGCCCTCCCCCCTCCCCCTAGCCCCCTCGGGCGCGCCGTCAAAACAGGTGGCAAGTTTGGTCGGTTCAGGGTTTCTGGAAACCGCCATGTGTCCTGGGGCGCCGACTGTCAATGTCTCTGGCGAGGCCCCCACAGGGATACGTGTAATGCCCGTCCCTGAGCTCTTCGCCCCTATCGTCGCCTCCGGTGAGCTGCCGGCGGACGGCGGGCTGGTGGTGCGGGTCCCAAGAATAATATGTACACCAGCGCCACCTTCATCCCCCATCCCCTCCTTCAGCATTTTTTAGCATCCTCTTCCTCTCCTATTCTCTGGGAGAGGAAGGGGAGGCGAGGCGTGACGTTGATGTACGTCCAGAAGGACGGCCATACGAGAGCATGGCGGTTGGGCCGAAGCCCAGGATGCACTCTGGATCCCTGTGTGATTCATGGGCGTGGAAGCTCGCGAAGGAGGAGGAGGGGGGGCGACGACGACGACGAGGAGCGGAAACTGCCACAATCTGGCACAAACCTACACTCCAGGGAGAGGGAGGGGGTGAGGGAGGCGGTGGTGGTGGAGGTGGTGTATCGGACGGGGCGTGGACGAGGATCAATGCGTTCAAGAGTGTTCTGGAACGCTGTCAGAGCGTGCCGGAACGCTCTGAGAAGGCCGCGGCGCCCGGACACCTTCCAGAGCCGCCAGATCTCGGAGATTCGGTCTATCCCCACCCGGTGCTATTCTCGTCCCGGCTTCGTCGTACGTGGTGGGCTTTGGCTGTTTTAGCTGCCTCGATGCGCCCGTTCTGAAGCGCAGCACGTGCCGTGCTCAAAACGTCCGTGCTAGCACGTTGCGTGTTAGCGCCACGTGTCGGCCCCACGTCTGGGCGAACGTGCCGCGCCCGGCGCGCGTCTCGGCAGTCTGCGCGCTGAGCTCCGCGTCCATACGCTACGTGTTGCGTGCTGCGTACCGGGGCAGCTCATGGAGGAGGAAGAGGAGGAGGAGGAGGAGGAGGAGGAGGAGGAGGAGGAGGAGGAGGAGGAGGAAGACGAGGAGGAGGAGGAGGAGGAGGAGGAGCAGGTGTGCACTCTTGGGCCCCGCAGGTGGAGTTCGAGGTGAGCTGGCAGCCTGGGGCGGACGGCGTCGGCTCGGCAGGGCTCCGCGGCGGGGGCGCTGAGGCGCGGAGCGCGCCGGTGCGCGGCCGGTCGCGGCACAACACCGAGACGGAGTGGCTCGACGACAGGGAGCAGATGAACAGGGCGAGGCAGAAGGTGCTTGGAGCCCTCTTCCTCCTCCTCCTGCTCCTCCTGCTCCTCCTCCTCCTCCTCCTCCTCCTCCTCCTGCTCCTTCCCTTCCTCCTCTTTCCTCCCCCCCCTCCTGACGATGCCAATCGTCACATGTGGCAGCTGTGGTGGGAAAAGCACGGCTCGAGCGCGAGTGTTGAGGAAAGGTCCGTGGGCATAGCAATTCATCGCATGACTCCTCTTTCCAGGATGCTTGGCTCAGGAAGGGCAGCGGCCTGGCCGTCACCTGGACCAAGAAGGGAGCATGCCTCTGGAGAATCCCCTCTGAGAGCATCCTGTTTGTAGAGGCGTGCGAAGCCCGTGTGCGGGATCCCGTCCACTGGATAGGTTGGCTGCATGCGTGGCAAGCCGACAGTTGTTCGACACGGACGGTGTGGTAGGGACCGCCGAGGTGGTGCTCGAGCTCCCTGACCACCTACACCCGCAGGACGCGGGGCCTCTGGACGAGGCCCCTGGCGGCCCGAGGCCTGCTGGGCGGGCGCTCCGCCGAGTGCGTTCCCCCGCCCCCGCCCGAGCCTGCTGATCTGGGCTCGGGGAGGAGTGCTCCAGCAGGCCGTGGCAGGTGAGAGTCAGAGCGTGAATTACCTACCCCGCTTTCGCTTCCAGGCAAAACCGAGTCATACCACGCGCCTTCTCGTCAAGCGGCCCGACCAGCACAGGCCGCAGTTTGGCATCGCTTAGCATCTCCTGGAAGCGAGGGTGGTCAAAAGCGAGGTAGGTTTGCTTGCTGGCCCCCTAGAGAGGTCACTCGTCAAGTCTGATGCGGGAGCGGAAGAGGGTGACCTTCTCCCTCTTTCCTGTTGCAGGTGTTGTGTGGGGCCTCCCGTGGCCAACTTGTGGTCGGTGGAGAAGCTCTCGCGGGGATGTGGTTCCAGGCCCAGCGCTCTCGCCTCGGGCGCCGTCACCACTTGCCTGCGCTTCGCCGAAGGGGCCCTCTGGGCTCGGAGGTTTGGGCGAAGAGCGAGGCGGCGTGGCTGCACGAGGAGCTGATGGGCCCCAACCGGTGCCGCTCCCGGGGCGCCTGGGTCTGGGGCGGGGTGCCTCCTGGTCTCGGGCCAGGTCCTGCGGGGGCCGTGAGATTCCGTCGGTATACAGTCGGGGCCCTGAAGAAGGAACCCTTTTCGTTGGGGAGGGGCTCCGCGTTCCTTAAGTGTTTCGCAGCTTGCCTCAGGTTTTCCTCATGTTTTCGACATGAAATCGAAGTTCAACTTATGGAAGAAAGGGGCCTCGTTCCTTATTTAGGGTTCCTTAGGTCAACGCCCCGACTGTATGGGATAGAGGTCCCCATGCTGGACCTCTCTCAGGTCGCTCGTCTCCACGGTTTTGAGGCGCCCGATTCGGCGGGGTGAATGGGCTGAGGAGCGGAGGCGGGCGGCGGAGCTCGCCAAGGCCGAGGCTGCCGAGCTTTGGCCTCTCCCGTCTCCCCGAAGAGGAGATCGGCCCGTAATTCGGGCCTGCCGCGTCGCGGCGAGGCATCTTGCCACTGCACCTTTCAGCCTTTCAGCCCCTTTGCTTCTCCCCCCCTTGCTCATCCTCCTGCTGCTCCCCTCCCTCCTCCCTTTCCTCCTCTCCCTCCTCCTCCTCCTCCTCTCCCTCCTCCTCCTCCTCCTCCTCCTCCTCCTCCTCCTCCTCCTCCTCCTCTTCCTACTCCTCCCCTTCCTCCTCCCCTTCCTCCTCCCCCGTCGGCAGGGAGCAGATATATACAGGGTGGGGCAGCTGGCGCCCGGAGGAGCCCGCCGGCAGGGTCCACCTCGATCTCATCGATCTGCTTCGGCATCGAGTCCTTGGCCGGCACGATCCGATCCGATTCCGATATTCCGACGATCCGATGCGGCCCGATGCTCTCCTCCTCCTCCTCCTCCTCTTCCTCCTCCTCTTCCTCCTCCTCCTCCTCCTCCTCCTCCTCCGCCTCCTGCTTGAACAGCTCCGACCTGGCGCAGCCGAGCGGTTTCGATTTTGAGCAGATGCGTGCATGGCGCTGCTGGTGTGCGTTTTCTGATTCATGGTTTTGCCCTCGCCCCGCCTCTCCCTCCCTGTTTGGGGCGCCGGTTTCGAGCAGGTGGGGTCCCTCCCCCAGCGGCCGCACTGCTGCAAGCAGTCGCACTAAGCAGAGGTCTGGAGCCAGTCCCCCCCCCCCACTCCCCCCCCCCTTCCGCCCAATGTCGAAACGACGAATCAGAAAACGCTCATTTGTGCCTCCTGGCGCAGTCGATCGGGTTCGATTTTGAGCAGAGGAGATGAGCGGGCCGAGGCAGAAGTCGATTTTGAGCAGATGAGATGAGCGGGCCGAGGCAGATGAGCAGGGTGAGGTAGACGGTGCTCGTCGGGGAAACGTGAGGCTCGAGTTCGTCGGAGCTGAACACGGGCATGCCAGCGTTTCTCGACGGGCCTGGATCTCGACGGTCCCGGTTTTTCGTGGGATGTCTGCTGCGGGAGCTCGCGCCACATTTCGCATGGGTTCTCGTCACCTTCCCGAGGGCCCCGTCGGGCCAGCCCGAGTCCCCGGAACCCGATTCTTAGACGTCTCCCTGAGCTCTGAGCCCGATCGGGGGGCGGAGGAGGCGCGGCAGTGGTTCCGGCTGGCAGATGGTCACCACCCACCAAACCACCCCAACCCAACCCGAAGGCTCAGATTTACCCTCGATTTCCAGTGGGGGGGGGTCGGGAAACATCGAACAAAACACATATGGAACCCTTACCCCCCCAAACCCGAAATTCGGGTCTTCGGGTTGGGTTGGGGTGGTCTGGTAGGTAGTCAGATGGGAGGGGGGAGAAGCGGGCCCTCCTCGTCGCCATGGCTGGACGCGTCTCGAAAAAAACTGGTCAGGTTCGACCCTGGGAGGCGCCCGGGGGTACCGCTTTTGAACGAAGTCGCCCTCGCCCAGATTTTCTCTGGGCTTCTCCTGCTCAGGCTCGAAAACCGATTTCTGACCACATCCACCTCTGGATCCTCGATTCTATGATAGGTCCTCGGGGGTGGAAGTGGGTAGTTTTTCCTTCCCCTGGGGCGGGGAAACTGCCCACCCCCACCTCTGGAAACCGCTTTTCGCAAGGCACCTCGGGAAGTGGGTGTGGTCAGAAATCGGTCTCCTACAGGCCCCCCGTACGCCCCCAGCAAGTCAGGAGCGAGAGAAGGACGCACACGTACATAAAAATCCACGCTGGTTTCGAGCGTACGCATTGCCCGAATGGTGGCACCACGACGCGGCCATTCTCGCGGATCGAGGGGCCGTGTTCATGTTTATAGCTGGGCGCGTACGTCCTTTGTGGGCTCCCTAGCAAGGTGCGCTTCCTGGAGGTGTTCGGCCTGGACGCGTCGCAGCAGGGCACCTACACCGTCACCGCCGAGAGTCTCGGGCAGGTGCTGGCGAAGCGAGGCCTGCGCAACGTCAAGGACGGCTTCCTGCTCAAGGCGCTGCAAGAGTTGGAGAGGGTTGCCCAGAGCAAGGCAAGCTCGTGCGGCGCGAGCGTGGACTCCAGAACCTCGGCGCTATCCAGCGTTGTGCCGCCTCCTGTTGGGAGCTTGTCTGGTTCGGCGCGCCTCGACAAAGGCATAGGCTTCGAGATTTTCGTGGACGCCGTCTTGATGTCGGACCTTCCGAAGCGCGTGCATCCGAGGCTTTCTCGTGGTGTCGAAAAGATGCAGGAGGCCTTGCTGAAGCAAGATGTGGAGGAGGTTATCGCCAAGCTGTCCCGAAAGCGAGAGTCCCTTGCTATGGATGTGTCCGTTGACGGGCTCGCGCCGACGCCAAAATCCTCGAAGGTGGACACTGTCTTGAATACATTCGTCTCGCTGACAGTACTCGCCAGCATAGTCTGTCTGGGCCTCAGCAGAGAGAGCGACCCTGACTGGGAAGGGTGGCTTATACTGGAGGCCGTCTTCGCGGTCATATTCATAGCGGAAATAAACATCAAAATCCTGATGCACGGCTCGCGCACGTATTGGTGTGGCCCAGACAGGCGGTGGAATTGGTTGGACTTCACAGTCACCGTCGTATCGGTCGGGGATGTATGTCTCAACCTGGTTATCCAAAATCTGTCGGACGAGTTAGAGTTCAGCAGGCTCGCGCTGGTCTGCCGCGTTTTCCGACTCATGCGACTTGGGCGTGTCCTAAAGATGATCCGGTCGCCGTTGATCCGCGAGCTCTCGAATATGTTGGTCGGTTTCGTGCTCGGCTCACCGGCCCTCTTCTGGGTCTCGATTATCATTTGGGTAGTTGTTGCGTTGGTAGCAATGAGCCTTCGGATCGCGGTCGGCGCTCATCCAGATGAGCAAATGTTGGTCGAAAAATGCGGACACCCCGACCTTTTCGTTGTCACGGAGGACGCGGACCCAACCTGCGCAAAGCACAAGCTTTACGCAGAGGAATACTGCGGCTCGCTGTCGAAGTGCATGTTCACCGTGTTCCGTTGCATGATCGGCGACTGCACCAGCACAGGCGGTCAATCTTTGGCAGCGCACTTGAGCGCAGGTTTCGGAACGAAGTTCGACTTTGTGTATCTCACTGGCATGATCGTGATGATATTTGGTCTCTTCAATGTCATCACCGCGATATCCCACCTGCCTCCGGCAAGCCCCGTACAGTGCCCGCGCAGCAGCGCCGTAAACAAGAGGTCTGGTTTCGTGGCCTTCCTTCGGGAAGCCCGTTGGATCGGCCCCGGGCCGCCATGGCGGAGGTCGGGCAGTCTCAGGGCCGCCTCGGGGCCTTGTGTTGGCTTGTGCAGGGCCATCTTGACGGCCTCGGGGGACCCTGCAGCTTCCGGGGTGGGCTGAAGCCGAGAGGCTTCGATAGGGAAACCGCATGGATCATTCTCAGCTCCCCTCCTCCCCCCCCCCTCTGCCCTTGCTGCCCCCATGCCCCTGCACGCCTCGTGATCCCACACGGAGCTCCGCGCACGGTCTCGGTCAGTGCGTGCCGACAGGGGGGGCGGCCCCTGTACGGAACCCGGCCAGACGATTAACAGCACTCTGACGCTTCTCACCGTGCGGGCACGGTGACGGATTCGTGGAGGCAACGATGGCGGGGCTGAAGTACAGCGAGGCGAAGCAGAAGCTACGAAGCGTGTACGAGGCTCAGTACGTGAAGCGAAAGCTGGACGAGCTGGTGCGCAGGATCCACGCCGTCTCCCGCTGGGTCCAGAACTCTAACGGAACGACGGCCGACGACCCAGAGCACGACGCGAGCGGCCACGCCTGGGGGATGTCGGTGGACCCGGGCTCCGCCGACCACATCAATTTGACAGAGAACGAGTTCTTCGCGGTGATCGACGACGACGTCGTCCGGCGGATCCTGATGGAGCTGGACATCGAGGTCGAGGGCGCCGGCAAGGAGGCGCTCTTCGAGCTCATGGACTCGAATTGCAGCGGGACGGTGGACGTGGCGTCGATGATAGATACGCTCATGAAGCTGAGGGGCGGGCCCATGAAGGTCGACATGATCGCCCCGTCGGTGGCCCTCCGAGGGCTGCAGCAGGAGCTCCGGCGCCTGGTCTCGAGGCTCGCCGTGGCCGATCCCGCGGGCGGGGAGGGCAGCCCCAAGGTCAAGGGAGGAAAAGCCACCCGGACCGGACGATTGGCGTTCACTGAACGGCCCTGGGCGTTGCCCAAACGTACAGCCCTGCCCTGTTCGATTCCTTCTTTGGGCCCCCCGGCAAGGGCAGCCCCAAGCCGATGCTGGCCCGGGACGGCGTCGGCCCGTAGACGAGCGCCTCCGCCGAGGGCCAGCTGCTCGTCCGGGTGCCGCTCGGAGGGGGGCTGAGCCGGGTCCCGGGGCACGCCGCGCGCTCCTGGGCGCGCATCGCCCGCCATCTGGACGCCGACGACGATGCTGACGCCGACGCCGACGCCGACGACGACGCCGACGCCGACGCCGACGCCGACGACGACGACGCCGACGCCGACGCCGACGCCGACGACGACGACGACGACGACGACGACGACGACGACGACGACGACAGTGACGACGACGACGACGACGACGACGACGACGACGACGACGACGACGACGACGACGGCGACGGTGACGACGACGACGACGAACGACGACGACGACGACGACGCCGACGTCTCTCACACGCCGAAGAGTTGTCTTGGGGGGGAGGGAACCAGTTTTGTGCCCCAGTGCAGACGTACCCTGGAGAGTCCATGGGGCCCACTGGCAGTGCCTTGGCTGGAATCGTGGCCTGTGAAGCCTCACTGCGGGGTATGTCGTCCTGGGGGGGGGAGGCGTTCGGTCCCATTCAAGGTGCGCGTGCACAACAGCGTCGAAGTGCGCAGCCGAAAGACAGCCTAGTCATGCTAGCGCAGCGCACGTGGTGAAGATGGGCAGGAGTGGGGGCGATGAGGACAGAGGATACGCGTTTGGTCTTTTAGCAGGCTGTATCGGGCTTCATGGTGTTGCGGGGTTCTAGGGGCTTCTAGGGAACGGGAGGGTGAAGAGGATGACGAGAAGGAGGACGAACCATCTGCTCCCTGCCATTTCTTTTCTGTTCGCACCTCAGCAACATGACTACGCTTGCTGGAGATGCGGCCGCCGAATCTTCCTCATCTTCCGCATCCTCGTGTTCCTCCTCGCCTCGTCCCCCTCCGCCTCATATTTTTGTGTTGTTTCTCCTGCTCCTGCTGCTCCTTCTCCTCCCCCTTGCCGCCAGATGAGTGTGTGTTTTGGAGGCAAATTAGCCTCAAAAGCTGAACTCTGGCCCTGAACTCTGTTTCATTTCTGATTCGTTTGAAACATTGAACTCTGGTCAGAACTCTGATTTAACTCTGATTCGGCTCTGTCCGCAGCCAGAGCTAAATCAGAGTTAAATCAGAGTTCCAGGCTAGAGCCAGATCAGAGATTCAGCCAAACCAGACAAGCCAAACCAGAGCTGAATCAGAGTACCATCAGAGTTCTTGCAGTCCAAGGCGGAGGGCGCGGGGCGCGCTGCGCAAGTGCGCTTGTCCTCTCTCCTTGCCCATTCTCCCTCCTCCCCCCGCTCTCTTCTTCCTACCTCGTCTATCCCCTCCCTCCTTCCTCCGCTTCCCTCTCCCTCCCTTTCCCTCCCCCGTCCGCGTCCCTCTCCCCCCCTCCCCCCCTCCCCTCCTCCTCGGTTTGTCTCCTCCCTCCTCCCCTTATTCCCGCCCTTATCCTCCACCTTCCCTCCTCCTCCTCCTCCTCTTCCTGCCCCCTTGGCCTCACTAGTCCCGCTTCCTCCTTCCTCGGTCGCCGTCGCCCTCCACGTGCTGTCCCTCCTTTGCCCTCGGCCCCCATTCCTCCTTCGTCCTTTTGTTCCTCCTCCTCGTCCCCCTCCGTATCGAGCGTCAGTCTTCGCTCATCGGCCTCAGTGTCCCGCCTTCGTTCTCGCCCTCGCTCCCCCTCGCTCCAGGTCCCGAGCCCGGCCTCGTCTCCGCCCTCGCCCCCGCGCCCGCCTTCGCCCCCGCCCGAGGCCGCTTTCACTTCAGCCCTCTTCCTCGCCTTCGCCTTCGTTCCCGTCCTTGCTCTCACCGTCGTTCCCGCCCTCGTTTCCGCCCTCGTTCCAACCTTCGTTCCCGCCCTCGTTTTCGCCTTCGCCCCCGCCGTCGCCCCCGCCCTCGTTCCCGCCGTCGCCCCCGCCCTCGTTCTCGCCCTCGTTCCCGCCCTCGCTCCCGCCCTCGTTCTCGCCTTCGTTCTCGCCCTCGTTCCCGCCCTCGTTCCCGCCCTCGTTCCCGCCGTCGCTCCCGCCGTCGTTCCCGCCGTCGCTCCCGCCCTCGTTCCCGCCTTCGTTCCCGCCGTCGCTCCCGCCCTCGTTGTCGCCCTCGTTCCCGCCCTCGTTCCCGCCCTCATTCTCGCCTTCGTTCTCACCCTCGTTCCGGGGCCGTCCGGAGGCCGCCCAGGGAACACAAGGGCCGCCCGGGGAAATCAGACTTGAAACAGAGTTTGGGCCAGGCCTAAAACATATCTCAAAAACGGTATGTAAACATACCTCAAACAGACCTTCGTCAGAGCTTTGCCCCCAAACAGACCTCAAACATATTTCAAACATACCTTAAACATACCTCTAACATACCCCAAACAGACTTCAAACAAACTTCCCGGTGATTACCCGGAGGTTCCCCGGAGGCGCCCAGGGAATTCCCAAGGCGCCCAGAGGAATCCCAGAGGCGCCCAGAGGCGGCCCCCCGCCCTCATTCCCGCCCTCGCTCCCCCCTTCGTTCCCGCCCTCGTTCCCGCCCTAGTTCTCGCCCTCGTTCTCGCCCTCGTTCTCGCCCTCGTTTTCGCCCTCGTTCCCGCCTTCGTTTCCGCCTTCGTTCGCGCCCTCGTTCCCGCCGTCGTTCCCGCCCTTGTTCCCGCCATCGTTTTCGCAGTCGTTCTCTCCCTCGTGTTCGCCTTCGCTCCCGCCGTCGCTCCCGCGGTCGTTCCCGCCGTCGCTCCCGCCCTTGTTCTCGCCCTTGTTCCCGCCCTCGCTCCCGCCCTCGTTCCCGCCATCGTTCCCGCCCTCGTTATCGCCCTCGTTGTCGCCCTCGCTCCCGCCCTCGTCCCCGCCCTCTCTATCTCCCTCGTTTTCGCCTTAGCTCCCGCCGTCGCTCCCGCTGTCGTTCCCGCCTTCGTTCTCGCCCTCATTCCCGCCTTCGTTTCCGCCCTCATTCTCGCCTTGGTTCTGGCCCTCGTTCTGGCCCGTCGCCCCCGCCTACCCCAGTTCCTGCCCTCGCCTCCGCCGTCCATCTCGCGATCGTTGCTGCCCTTGCCCCTTGTCCCCGCCTTCATTCTGGGCACCTCCCAGGGCGCCTCCCGCGCCCTCGTCCTTTCCGACAAGTGCAGCGTTTCTCCTCTGCGCGTCCCGCCCCCGACCTGTCCCGGGCGGGCGGCGGGGATTGGGGCGGCCACCGCGATGCGCAGCGTGTCGCGGCGCGGCAGCCGGCAGCTCTGAGGAGCGAGCCTCGGGTGAGCCTTTTTTCGCCCCAGCTGCCGTTGAGCTGTTTTTGGCAGGGCCGCGCAGGCGGGGGGCGCTGCCCCGCGCCCCCCGCGCAGGCCTTAGCCTTAGCGTTGCCGCAGGGCGGCGTGCGCAGGCGGGCCCAGCTCGCAGCATTTGGCAGCTGGCGGCTGGGCCCCCAGCCATGACCTGCCCCTTGGCTTACGCATTCCTTCTGTTGCTGTGCACGCGCATGGGGCCAACCCGGCAGCGTTCTGGGCCGACGCCGCGACATTGGCTTCAGCGGGCCCAAACCAAACCATAATCATAGTTACTTTGAGAGTTCCCAGTCAGACCTAAATCCGACTTGGGACTTAGGGTCAGATTTAAATCAGGTTTCCACTCATACCTCAATCGGAGCTCGCGCTGAGGACCGGACTTGAATCAGAGTTCCAGCGCAGGCATGAATCATACCAGCATCCGGGTTTGTGGCCGGAGCAGAGCAACGGAGCGCGCCCCCAAATGACACGCAAGGCTAGTTCTATTCCTCGGAGGTCGCGGGCGCCGGCGATAGCCATGCGCTGGCAGCCGGCAACTCCTGGTCACATCCATGCTCCAGCTGCTCGTCTGCCCATCCATTGTGCGGTTGTACCTTGACGAGTCGTTTTGGCGATGAAGAAGTGCACGGCTGCCATATTTGAGTCCCGAGCTCGCCCGGCAGGACAGGCCTGCTGTTCGTGAGATCTGGTTGCGCTACCAGAGGCGTGCTGCGCGAGCTCCTCTCAGTTCCATGTTCATCGCGCTGGGCGACTTCAACATCCACGACGAACCGTCGGCCTCACTCGCCGAACCCAGGCCCATTCTCATGCAGTTTGCCGGCGGAGACCAGCATCGCCAATCCCTGTTGCGAAGTGTCTTCTCAGTCGTGACTGAGCTCAGCAGCGGTGGGCCTACAACCCCCTGGGATAAAAAGCCCGGGCCGCAGAGGTCGGGGAATAATAAGCCTTGATGTTCGGCCCCCGTTAATTAGACCACGGGGCCCCGGTGCAATGTTGCAGGGGCCGCCGCGTTTAAATTCCTGGTCCATCCCCGCCCCCTCTAATATTATAATCGCCAAATGGGGTGACGACCGGAAATCCGCATTCCGCCTCGCACTTCCC